CGGAATACAAATTTTACTGCACCAGTAAACTTCAACTTATTTTGAGATTTTTGTTTGTTTCACAACTCAACTTTTAGTCAGTTTCAATCACTGTGTGATAAATCCTTTCAATCTGATAAATGTGCTTCGGGGCAGTTGTATCTCATTTATAGAAACTCTTTGTTTTGAACGGTAAATAGACCCAAATAATGGGATAATCCCTTACTAAGAACATGATTTACATTCATTCTTCACAATTAAGAGGCATCCAATCCTACAATTTCATTGGTCGAGAGTACTTTGCTATATTCTAAATGCATGGAAGTATTATAATTATATTGGTCAATATAATACTTCCATGCTTCATGATAAGTACTCGCTAACGCTTGTACTTATTCATGAAGAAAGGGATTATCATTCTCTTACATATACTTATTGGAATTTCCTAAAATGTGTTTTTTTAATATCATGAAACAATTTGAAGTGAACACTATTAGTAATTTCTTATGTTCATAATCAATTTCTATTGTTACGAATAACAATGGACTTTGTTTGCGGGATGTAGAAGCAGGGGTTTCCAGAAACCCCGCTCGTCACACCCAGTGGTCAAAATCCATTGTTTTTCGTAACAATAGATCTATTCAATTTACACTTGTTTCAGAAATAGAAACTATGAAGTATAACAATAGAACTGGGGTGTAAGGAAAGGGGAAGGAATACACCTATTTACCTCCTTATTCTGGTCGCTTCCTTTGGTGAAAGGTAATTAATTAGACGTTAATAGGAGCACATCAGATGTAATAAAAAGTTGCCATTTTGTAGAGCTTAGTAAAGAAAAAAAAAGTAAAAAAAAAATGTAAAAAAAAAATTCCCCCCCCCCCCCCCAAAAAAAAAATATGAAAAAACTGTAAACTAAGTTCTAGGAAATAGCAGTATGGGTTAGTTTGAAATTTAATGATTTTTTTTGGATATAAAATTATTTTTATTGTACTTTAAATTCATCTGATTTGCATATGTGATAGAGAGAGAGAACACGACTTTGTTAAGGTTTATTCTGTTTTAATCTTAACAGCAGGTGGCTCTTTCATCTTACTGTAGTCATCTCTTATAAGCAATTTTCAATATAGATACCAAAACCTGTCAGTAGATTAAGATTGAATAAATCTAGAAAGAGGGTAAAGTATTTTTAATTTTATTGAAAGTACTAAAATAATTACACATTGTTCCTTAATTTTCATCATTTGGATTAGATTAATTTTGTTTTATTATAGACATTTTTCAAAATAAGTTGTTAGATGCCAGAATGTGGAGAACATGATATTTAATTTTAAAAAACATTTAAGTGTTTTTTTTTTAAATTCAAACTTATTTGCTAATAATTTTAAAATATTACAATTTTGACAAATATTTTCAATGGAATGAAAAACAGCTATTATCTCCCTTTATCAAGATCACTTTTTATAATAAAAGAACACATGTATAAGAAAACAAAAATGTTTTACTAAATTTCTGAATTTGCAGTAATTGTACTCTTCACGGCATTTTTTACTCATAACAATTTTTCAACACTTTAACTCATGTTCTTTTCTTAATAATTTTTTGTTTACACATGGATAATATACTGCTTTGTTTTTTTTTGTCTTTGTATGCCAAGACGTATGTTTTTAAAAATAATGTACTCTTTTTGTATTACAGAGTTGCAATCAAACCATTCATTCTGATTACCATTCGTTATATATATATTACCAGTTATAAAATTTACTTTAAAAAATGCAGTCTAGCTGCTATGTTGATATGAAATAAATGAAGGCTTTTTGTGTGCATGATTATTGAAATAATAATATTCATTAATAAATATTTATATTGAAAATTAGCAATGATGGCTTGTTTTCCTATTATATCCCTACTCTAAGAGTTAGGGCTATATGGCATTCACCTTGTCGGTCCCTCTGTCTGCCAGTTTGTCCAACAAACATTTGTCACAATTTTATTTAAAATTATTTGGTGTTTAACCATTCATCCTCTTTTCTTTGTTCGTGGTCCATTGAAAGGCATTTTTCCCTAGTTTACATGTTTCTTGATGGGTAAAATTATCAGGACCAACTCAAACTGAAGATGAGTAACAGTAATATGCTTTAGCATCTACACATGATTTCTGTAAAGATTAAGCCTGGACTCGCACAGTTATGGTCAAAATTGACACTAAAATGTAAAGGTTTGATCATGTCAATGTTTGTCACAGGATCAGAATCCTATCACTCAGTTATAAGGTCAGTTTTGTGAGTCATTTGAAATTCAACTGCTGAACTTGCATTTTCGACATTTTGCTTTGTTCATATAAAAGCTGTTGAATAATGTTCTATCCCAATTTACATCTGATGGAACCAGTCTTGTCACTAGCCTTTCAACTTAATGTGAGTCTGAAACCTGGTCACGGCAAGGGTTCAACTCAGATCTTGATCAACAAGGATTGGGCGATATTTCCTGCTAAAGATTGGTGGTTCTCCTTGGGTACTCCATCTTCCTCCACCAAATATAAACTGACTGTCATATATAGCCAGGATTACTGAAAGTGCTGTTAAGTACCAACAAACTTATCGACTAGTTTTGTATTTATTGAGGGAAATAAAAAGAAAGTCAATTTTTTCTTGATTATTTCCTGCAATAATTTGCTTCATGCTGAATAGATTGGTTGATGTTTGCCTAGGTCCAGTGGCAAATATTTCATGCATGTTCAAGACGAACGTTGAATTGAATCTGAATTGGGGGAAATCGTTTGTTTTTTAGTCATATTACATGGAGAGTGGAAGAATGTCGTGTTTACTGAAAGACGTGCTTTCGTTTAAAAGTGAAAACATCTAATAAGCAGCATGTAATAACACTACAGCATACATTATTTGTGCATGGTAATTTTTTCTGTTTAGCATTGTCTTTGATTTTGTTTTAAAGATGAGCAGTTTTGCATTTAGGCTAGCTAATAAAGCTGTCAATTACAAGACTAAAAATTGTGTAGGAAAATGTTTGGCAGTATGTTCACTATAAAGAAGTTTGCAGCTCATTAGAGGTATTGTTTGCACAGAATGACAAAAACATCTTGATTTTAGTACATTCTGGTCCCATGTTACGACAAATAAACTGAAATTATTCCATAAATTTGAATTTTTAGACAAGACACCATATAATTGACGTGTAGAAGTAAAATATTTTCCAGGAAGCATTATTGTATGTGATATATAATCCACTAGAGACATTTTAGAATGATTTTTGTTGAGCCTGCGAAATTTATTTCGCGAAAGCGAGACATAGCGATCCTAGATTCATTCGTCATCGTCAGCGTCGTCAACATTTAGGTTCAGTCTATGGTTAAAGTTTATTTGACATCAATTACTTTGTCAAACCTACATGGAATTCGAATTTGATGAAATTTGGACAGAAGCTTGTTTATGACCAACATACAGTATCCAGAGCAAAATCTTGAAAATATTTATTTTCATTTTTCGGTATTTTACTGATAAATGGACTTAGTTTTCTTTACATTTAACAAATAGATACATTCTGAGGTTAAAGTTTGTTACACATCAAATACTTTGTCAAAACTTCATAGAATTTTATGAAACTTTTTCATGATTAAGAGATATATATATATATAATGTCTGAGCACACTTTAGAAAATATATTTTCATTTTCAGTATTTTTCTGATAAACTTTTTTTACAATTAACATTTACTGACAGTCTGGGAATAATTTTTTTTGACATGATAAGTTTGTTATCCTTCATGGATTGTTATGAAACTTGAACCGAAGCTAATCTTCAAGACCAAGAAATAGCATCTAAAGAGAAAGTTTAAATCTTTTTTAACACTGTATTTTACTGATAAGGGAGCAACCATTTAACTTCAAAAAGGGGGGGGGGGGGGGGGGGGGGGTTATCGGGTTTTTTGTCTGAGTCAGAAATTTTTTTCTCGCGCAGAGCGCAAATGTTTTTATTAGGTTTTAGACGCTATCAATCAAATGATTTTTTTTTCAAAATTTAACACTATAAGGTATGGGGAAAATCTGGATTCAGAATATTTTTTTTTGTCATCTGCTTGACCACAATATTTTTTTCATCAAATTGGGGATCAGAATATTCAGCAATTGTAGGCGAGACACACCGTTCCGCGGAACCCCTTACAAATTTGTTTCTTTATGAAAACTTACTGTGTAAAAAAAATATGAGGAATATTGCTTATGACAAGTCAATGATATTTGGTATTTAGTTGCATTAGCATTAGCATATCTTATTTCCAAGGAAATGTACATTCATTCATGGTTCATTGACCTAGAATATTAAATATATTTTACATGTTCATAAATTGGTATTCTGATTTCAACATTTTACTATCAAATTACTAAGAGGCGAGACATATCTCTGTGTCAACAGTTTTTAATAATTTATAATTGGATTTTTATAAAAAAAAAATGTTTTTTTACCCACTGCTGCGAATACTAAACATAAACTTAATAATGCAATCAGGTACTTTCTATAGTATAGAAAGTCACTGAGTGATGCAATTCATATACCATCGATTTCTCTTATCTAAAAATGTAAGTCTTGATACAGAACTTTTCTGTAGCATTTGGTTGACTCTTGGTCAATATGTTATGTCTCCCAGGTTTATAATGCAATCAGGGACTTTCTATAGTATAGAAAGTCCCTGATGCAATTCATATACCGTCGATTTCTCGTATCTAAAAATGTAAGTCTTGATACAGAACTTTTCTTTAGCATTTGGTTGACTCTTGGTCAATATGTTATGTCTCCCAGGTTTACTATGACAATTATTTCATTCTACTTATTTTATTATGTTACTTCTAGTTTGTATTTTTCCATCCAAGTTCGTTGTTTTTATACATATGTTCACATGACACATCTCTCTTGCAATCTTCTATGAAATATAAACAGACGAAATAATGGACGTCGTCTTCTATTATCTTTTGTGAAAAGTAATATTGGTTTTCGGGGGAACCTTTTAGACATTTTTTATGGTGAAGGTAGAAAAGGTCAAATAAATATTTAATGAGACAGACGACCGAACCAGAAGAATAAGCTGAACGAAGTATGTGTTCCTTCGGCTTAAAATAACTTCTGTCCAAAGCTACAACAGCTTAATTTAAATCTTTGTATACCCCCTTTTTTAAACTGTAAAGACAGCCCCCAAAACGGGCCCATAAAACCAGTAAACAAGACAGACAGTGAGACAAACAGTCACAGGTATAAAAGATAATTTTACTATTTTTAGTTATGAAAATTTATCATTTTATAAGAAATACATTAAAAATCGCTTGATACCTAACCGTTTTTGGGTTGATCTCCTAGGAAGTTAGGATATTGTAAAGAGCCAATTTACATGTACATATTAACATGATTAAGGTTCATCATAACAGATGGACAAATATGGCTATTTACACCTCAAAAACTACTCTGTGTAGAGACCTAACTGTGCAGTTTGGAAAGTTTTAATGTCTGGCATCCACTAGATATATAAGATGTAAATGCATTTTGTGTTTCAGACATGTCAGAAAGATGAAATAATTTCTGGATTTCGAGGAGCATTTTTTTTCGTTCCTGCAGAAGGTGTAAAAATAAACAAACTCCTGAATTGCATTTGATTATGTCCACTCAGTTACACTCTTTAACTCACCTGTAGTTGTGTAGATATCTATTGTCCATGCCAATCAAGGACAATCAATGCAATACAAAACAGTTGTTACCTGAGAGGGAGCATCTCAAAGTTGTAACCCAACTTAGTTTATTTTTACACCTTCTGCAGGAACGAAAAAAAATGTCCATTAAGATCCAAAAAAGATTTAATCATTCTGAAATGCAAAATGCATTCAACTTTTATATATCTAGTGGATGCCGGGCTTTAAAACTTTACCAACTGGACAGGTAAGTCTGTACTCAGAGTAGTTTTTGAGGTGTAAATACGCCATATTTGTCCATTTGTTATGATGAACCTTAAGGCAGTTGGTTGCATGCATGGTGAACCGAATACAAACATGACAAATACAATTTAATTTTATCTAAATTTATACTGGTCCAGTACCACTTACCATTAGAAATTAACAGTTTTTCTCAATTTTTTTTTTAGGCATTAGCTATGATTACCTGCAAAGAGTAACAATAAAAAAAAAATATTGTTACTTCAGAGATTTATTCAGTAATTGCCGAAAAATATGTCTCCGGAAAGGGACCCGTTTTCATACAGGGAAATTGCAGGTCATTTATTATTGTTACATGTACCTGCAAAATTTTACATAAGCAAATTATGTCTTATTTTTGTGTGTATCATCAGGCTTTTTTGTACTGCCTTCTAATAGGTTGTTTTACATATTTGACCTGCCTTGACATTTCTAGGCTTATGGAGGTGCAACGTCATTTCTTCGATATAAACGTCTTTAACAATGAACCTAATGTCAAATAATGTATTGTCTTTATTGGAGTTTGTTTTTATACCAAATTTAGCATCTGGGTATTTTTTGTAGCAATAAATATGAAATATAATATATAGTCTTTTGCGAAAACATAAAATTAATCTTATTAGGCAACATGAAGTTGGAACATTCTGCATATTTAACTTCTTTACATCTTTGTCTCAAAAATGTGAAAAGCTTATTAAAAAAAATTTCTGCTCTCAAGGTGAGCTTACCAAACCAAAGACATGGTTTGCTATAATTCTTTATGATAATTTATATATTAACCACTGTATTAACATTGATTTCTCATCCTTGATATGACATTGGTTTCTAATAAATAAAAGTCAATTCTTTTGAATACATATAAACATATCAGGAACTCTATATATTTTATTGGGATGAAAATGCAAGTTTTTGTTAGGACCACTGAATTAACAAAACAGACGATGCTTTTGTCTTTAATTGTATATGATTTATTAGGACAAGGGGATTCATTGAAAAAGATACACATTTGATACAGCAAATCCCATATATATCCAGATATAAATACCAAAGCAGAAACAATAAAAGACACAAGAGTGTGTATATAAATATTTGCATATTATTTGTAAATTTATTTTAATTTTTTGGTTGTAGGCTGTTGAAATTATATAAACATTTATGGATTCCGGTTTTAGAGCTTGACATATTTTGTGGAAACTTGTCAATTGTAAAGTTGAAGAACTCTAGATGTCTTTTGATTATTTGTGTTGTTGGCTTGCTGTCTCATTGACGTTTACCTAACATCTCCTTTTATTCATGACAAAAAAAAAAAGGTTTCTGGGTATTTCGTTTGTTTTCTTTAAGATTTCTATTTGTAATTGATATAAGCCATATTGCAGTATTTGCGAAAGAAGGTTTAACCATACATATATATCTTAGTACCATTTTTGTTGCTTTCAATTGAAAAAAAGCTGCAAGGTCTCATACGTCTATCTTAATTCCCCTTCATTTGAAATGCTCTGTACTTGAGTAAATTGGTACACATGTTCTTATTTTAGTTGAAATTTTTTCACTGTTCAAAATGTTTTTATGTTCTACCGCCATTGAAACAAGTGGAATGATCATGCAAGATAATATGCTTTGGGATCCAAATGAAAATAACTTGTTAACGTGGGTTAAATAAAAACAATAAAGAACTTGACAATGGTTATATCTACCAAATTAAGTCAAACTTTGAAATAAAGAGAGTTGACCATTGCTTAGTTCTAAATTTATGGTATTTTATTTCTATCATTACTTATGAAATATCATTTTTATTCTAATAATGTCACTCTTTTAGAATTCTTGTGGAGAAAAATAAGATAGACCATTTATCAAAATTAAGAGAATATAGATAAAGAAATGTGAAGTATGTTTCGATGAGACAGCACCCCAACAACACAGAAAAACCAAAAGTCATATCTAATCTAGTATACATTGGATTTAATGAAAAAGAATAAAGAACTGCAAAATAAATAGTAAATAATCATGATAATGCAAACTGAGTGGTTACCATGGAAACTTAATTCAAAGTGCAATTACCATCATGACCATATTCTTTTGGAATGAGCTTTTTTTTTAAAGTGGGAAATCAATAAGAAACCAATAGATTACTTCATGAATAAAATTAAATAATTAAATTCCATTGTCGGTGATATACTTAAAGACCTGTATTGTACTTTATTTTAAAGAATATGTCAAAATAACTTGACAGGGTGATATTTATTAGTCTAAACTTAATAAATATGCAAAAAATCCATTTGAGCCAAGGTATCTCCATATGCCTCTAAGTCGTGCCCAGTCACATATTTGATCAAATTTATATGCATTTTTTTATGCCCCCGCCGTAGCGGAGGGGGCATTAAGTTTTACCCTTGTCCATCTGTACGTATGTACGTACGTACATACCAAAATTGGTTTCCGTTCTCTAACTTTAGTTTGTCTCAACCAAATGTTACGAAACTTATACACAATGTTTATTACCACAAAACACAGATCAACTTTGAATTTTGGTGGCGTCACTTTTACTGTTCTAGAGTTATGCCCCTTTACAAATGGAAAAATTGCTGAAATTATCGTTTCCGTTCTCTTTCTTTAGTTTGCCTCAACCAAATGTTATGAAACTTATACACAACGCTTATTACCACAAAACACAGATCAAGTTTGAATTTTGGTGGCGTCACTTATACTGTTCTAGAGTTATGCCCCTTTACAAATGGAAAAATTGCTGAATTTTCGTTTCCGTTCTCTAACTTTAGTTTGCCTCAACCAAATGTTATGAAACTTATACACAATGCTTATTACCACAAAACTCAGATCAAGTTTGAATTTTGGTGTCGTCACTTTTATTGTTCTAGAGTTATGCCCCTTTACAAATGGAAACATTGCTGAATTTATCGTTTCCGCTCTCTAACTTTAGTTTGCCTCAACCAAATGTTATGAAACTTATACACAATGCTTATTACCACAAAACCCAGATCAAGTTTGAATTTTGGTTGCGTCACTTATACTGTTCTAGAGTGATGCCCCTTTACAAATGGAAAAATTGCTGAATTTTCGTTTCCGTTCTCTAAATTTAGTTTGCCCCAACCAAATGTTATGAAACTTATACACAATGCTTATTATCACAAAACTCAGATCATGTTCGAATTTTTGGTGGCGTCACTTTTACCGTTCTAGAGTTATGCCCCTTTACAAATGGAAAAATTGCTGAATTTTTCGTTTCCATTCTCTAATTTTAGTTTGCCTTAACCAAATGTTATGAAACTTATACACAGTGCTTATTACCACAAAACACAGATCAAGTTTGAATTTTGGTGGTGTCACTTTAACTGTTCTAGAGTTATGCCCCTTTATAAATTGAAAAATTGCAAAATTTTTATTTTCTTCTAAATATTAAGTAATTTTTAAATTGGAGTTATCTTCCTTTGTCCATGATTATAGTTGAATCAACTACAATCAATGCTTTATACAATGCAATGTTTAATTTTGACTTCCACTGATAAAACACAGATCAAGTTGAATTTGGGTAGTGTCACTTTAATCATTATTGAGTTATGCCCCTTTATAAATCGAAAGATTGCAAAATTTTTAGTTTCCATTCTGTAATTAAGTTTGCCCTAACCAAACATTATGAAACCTATACACAATAGTCATTACCACAAAACTAAGATCAAGTACAAATTTTTTGTTTCCTTTTTCTAACTTTAGTTTGCCTCAACCAAATGTTATGAAACTTATACAAAATGCTTATTACTACATAATACAGATTGAGTACGAAATTTGGTGGCGACACTTTTACCATTCTACACTTTTACCATTCTTGAGTTATGTCCCTTTATAAACACAAAAATTGCTGAATTTTTCGTTTCCGCTCTCTAACTTTATTTTATTGAACATAGCAATAATAAATGGAAAGCACATTTATACATATTTAGAATTCTTTTAGCTATTTATTTTGGTGGCACAAATGCAAAACGCCTGGTGGCACTTCCTGCATATCCAGTATGTATCCATAGGTGGCATTTTGATGCCAACACATTTACGGTGGTACCACTCTAGACACCCGTTGTTAACTATAGATCCATATCTTTGCACGTCTATTCCACACACTAAACAT